AAAAATAGACAAAAACAAAACATAGCATAGACTTGTCTTGGAAGCTGTAGAGTGTCGCAATGTTCCACACTATGCCCCACTGTCCATACATCTTCATTTCCAGATGTTTATCGCAGCGATTCATTGGTCCGGTTGAGGTCTCTGGCTTCTGTGACACCTCAGGGTTGGTGGTTCCTAATGATGCAGCCACTTCACACAGTTCCTCATGCTGTGGTGACCCCAGTCATAAAATTCTTTCTGTTGCTACTTCATAACTGAAATTTTGTACTGCTGTGAATCCTAATGTAAACCTCTGTGTTTCCCAATGGTCTTAGGTGACCCCTGGGGAAGACTGTTCAACCCCCAAAGGGGTGACAATCTTGAGAACTGCTGCCCTAGAGCTTGAGTGACAGCCCTAGAGCCGGGAACTGAACTCAGGTCTGCAGCAAGAGCTCTAACTGCAGAGCCATCTCTCCAGCCCCCAAAGAAATTTATGTACACATATGTGTGTGTATATGTGTGTATGTATATATACATATGTGTGTAGATATATCTACATATATGTATACACACATATGTGTGTGTGTGTGTGTGTGTGTATACTCACAACTTGGCAATGTTTAGGCATTGGGAATGAAAGCAATATTTTTGAAATATAAGGCAGGATGGACGAACGTGTGTGTGAGCCAAAGGGAGGGCAGGTTCTAGCCAAGCCTTAGCAGGTTTGTTGGGCTTCTGAGTGTACTGAGAGCATATCTGAGAGATGACCCTCCTTTGCCCAAACCACCGCTAATGTCAAAATTACACCACTAATGTCAAAAATGAATGTCGTCGCTATGAGGTTTTTTGTTGAGACAAATTAAAGGAAGAAAAGATCAATTTGGATTAAGGGTAATCATTGCCTCTCCTCTCAGAGTTTGCACTGCCATTTGTGACTTCTGTCAGCCTCTCTGAGACAGGAATCCGTTCATCGTTTTCCCCTCCAAACGCCTCCCCTGGCTCACACTGGGCCTGGGGTCGGGCCTGCTTGATTAACAGAAAGAAGCCTTCACTGGGCAGAGTTGGCTTCCTAGGATGACAGCTGTGAATGTGCTTCTTCTTCTTCTTTTTTTTTCTGCATTTCTGCTTGAGACAGGTCTGCTATAGCCCAGGCTGGCCTAGAACTCGTTAGTGTAGCTGAGGATACTCTTGGACCCAGCGCTGCTGTCCTTACAGGTGGCATCCACCATCACAGATGCCTCTAAAGCAGTGCTTCCTGTGGGTCCTGACCCCTCTGGGGGGTTGAATGACCCTTCTGCAGGGGTCACCTAAGACCATCGGAAAACAGAGGTTTGCATTATGATTCCTATTGTAGCAAAATTACAGCTGTGAAGTAGCAACAAAAATAATTTTATAGTTGGGGTGACCGTAACATGAGGAAATTGTACGGAAGGGTCACAACAGGAGGAAAGTTCCAAAGGTATTTCTGAGAGAGGTGTGGCCTTTTTCTAACCCTCAGGGACAAGGTCCCCACCGAGGCCGCCTTCTTTCTTCCCTTTGTTTATCAGCTGTGGTTTCGCTGCATTTCCTTTACTCTGTCATGTATCACACAAGTCAGTCTCCGTCTTCCACTGTGTGGTTCCCAGGGATGAAATCATCAGCCTGTTACAGCAAGCACTGTTACCGGGCACCATCTCTCTGACCCTATTTTATGTATTTTTCTGTATCAAAGTCTCATGTAGCCCAGGTTGGCCTTCAACTCACAATGTAGCCAAGGATGGCCTTCAACACCTGACCTCTTGTTTCCACCTCCCACGTGCTGGAATGACAGGGGTGTGTCACCACACCCAGCTTGAAAATGTCGGTCCTTTAGCTCCATTTGCTGCGTCTCTGAAGGACATATGACTTTAGTTCCCCAGTGTTCAGGTAACCGTACAATGAGACAACCTTGAGAGAGAACGGTTGCCGGGAGAAGTCGCCTTTACCCAGAGCCCCTGCTCTGAGTGAGCCAGAGCTACAGACCCCAGCCCCGCTGTTCCGAAGGTTCCCTCCAGCCAACCCATGCTTCTCCGTTAGCCAGCTGCCCAGCCTTGTCTGTCTAATGGGGCTTAAATGACTGATAGGAAGTCAATGCCCACGGTCTCCCCATCTCTGCCCCCAGCTGTCACCCTCCATTTACAAAAGGTCAGAATGATACCGTCATGTCATCTGGCAGCAGTGGCCCCGGGCTCTGTCCCAGCTGGTGGCAGTTGCCAGTGGCCCAACCTTCCTACCCATCCTCCTGCCACCTCACAGGAAGGGTTCTTGTGGCTCACGGATGTGTTTTCCTTCAACATCAGCCTTCCCTCATGTCCACACCCGTCAACTAATGAAAATAATTAGCTCGCCCTCCCCGAAACCACCGGCATTCTCAGCAGGAGAAGGAAGCTTCCCGAGGCTGAGCCTGTCAAGTAGGGGCTGTGGTGTTTGTCCCACTGAACACACTCGGGGCGCAGAGCCTAATAATAAAACCGTCTGATGTTATGAGGCCTCAAGGTGGACTGCACATCTCTCTATTTTGTGGGATTACTGTCCTTAAAGGATTCTTGGTGACAGTGCTTTCAGAGTGGAGGGGTGGAGAGGGCATCTGTGATGTCAACAGCTTAAATCCAAGAAAGCCCCCCAAAATGAGGGCACACCACCCCAGGCCTTCCTTAGATATCAAAGTGTGTGGAAATTAAAGACCCGTCTGAGGCGTGCTCACCTGCAAACCTCTCTGAGCAAGGCTCCAGCTTGCAGATCGTTGTTTGCAAGCGAGAACCCTCCAGGGCACAGGCTCCATGTCCGATCCAACACACAACGTATGGGAGCAAATGGAAAATAAATCACCTTGGTGGCTCACACCATAAGAGGTAGTTAGGATGCTCACACAGTGATAAAATATTTATAATAACAGGCGGTGTGTTTCTCTGAGAGGTGCTCAGGGTTATGTCCTTAAAAAGAAAAAGGAGGGGAAAAAAAGTTCTGTTTATTTCGGGATAAAAACTCATCTGCTCTGGCTGAGCCGGTCTCCAGGGTAACAGAGCCTCCTGGAAAGGAGGAAGGAGGCTGCTCTGCCATCTCCTCCCTCACCTTGACCTTCTCAGACATCCAGGGTACATCACCAGGGCACCAGAGCCCGGGCCAGAGTAGACCTCCCTGCCTGTTCTATTTTCAAGGAGTGAATCCCACAGTTCACTCACTGAGTGGCTGAGAAGACTGTGTGTGTGGCTGGGACAGGCTCTGTGTTCTGAACAAGGACCTCGGCTTGTGTCCCCCAATGCTCATTTTGTAGCTTTTCCTTGGAAACTGGGCTGATAGTGAAGGGCTCCCTGGAGCCAGCCCTCTTCAAGGGTTGTGTTGCAGTTTCTCCTAGAAAGCTATAAAGAAGCATCTACTCGGGGTCTGGAGAGCTGGCCCGGTGGGTGAGAGGGCGGCTCGCAAGCATGAGGGGCTGACGTGAATCCAAGCACCCACAGTAAAAGCTGGGCGTGGTGGCATGTGTCAGTTGCCCCAGAGCTGGGCCTGGGGGTAGGAGCGAGGCAGAGGGGTCTCTGAAGTTCCTTTACCAGCCAGCCTAGCCAAGTGGGTGAACTTCAGGTTTAGTGAGAGACCCCTGTGGAAGAGAGAGGAAGGCTGGTGTTGACCTCTGGCCGCCACATGCATTGTACACAGCTGACACACACACATGTACACACACACGCGTATGAACACATATATACCACACATACAAATAACAACAATAATAATTGGACAGCTCCTCACCCTTACCTTAGAGTGGGGGAGGGCTACTTAGACAGAGCCATATAGGGGAAGGACAGCCATCCCATCCTGGCGTGGGTGCAGCGTTCTTGAGAGGTGGCAGGAAGGTGTCCTTACGGTGGAGACGCATATTCCTGAGGATCGGTGGGTTATAGATCGTATAGGATGCATTAAGGTTTAAAGATTTAAAGATGTGCAAGGCCTTGGTTTCAAGTAAAGCGTTTCCTCTTGTTACTTCAGTCCTAGGTGGATTTTGTGGAGGCCTAACGCAGTAAATCCAGGGCTTGCAAGCATTTTGACCCCAGTAAGCACAGTTGTCTTTTGTTGTTTCCTGTTTTGTTTGGTCAGTTGGTTTTGAGGCCGGAGCTCATATGGCTCAGGCTAGCCTTCAACTCCTTATGTAGCCAAGGATGACCTTGATCTTCTGATCTTCCTGCTTCTACCTTCCAAGGGCTAGGATTACAACCAAGCACCCCTTTATCCAGTTTGCCAGGTGCTGGGGCGGAGCCAGGCTCTCCTTGCAAGCAAGGGACAAGCTTTCTGTCAGGAGCCACACCCTCAGCTTGCTGATTTAACCCTTGTCTGAGATCTAGGCGCCTTGGGCTTCAGCTGCTGATGTTTCTAGATTCACGGTCAGCAGGTAACGCAAACAGGATCGCAGGGCGAGGGGCATCCTTCCCTTCTCACGTCCTCTCCCTCTCCCCTGTATTTCTTGCCTGCCTCTGAGTGCTTTGTTTTGGCTTATGCTTTCCAAGGGCTTCGTCCATAGTCACATAGCTCTGTTATTTCTGGGCTTGTGGTAAGACAGAGAGTCAGAGTGGAAGGCCTCCGGGCAGGAACAGCTGGTCTATTTACAGAGGCCATGACGCTCAGAGACCAGGAATGCACCAGGCACAAAGTAAACACTTGAGAGGTTCCACCATAGTGACCCACCTTCCCCAGTGGGTGCTGCCTGCTTCCTGTGGACTCCTGAGTCAATGATGAATCTACTGGTTTAGTCAGACTTCTCCAATCCACCTGCCAGGTGGGCATCAAACACAGCTCCACCTCAGATGGGTAAGAGATCTTATTCTGGAACCAAACATAAGTGATCATAGCCCAGGGACCCAGATTTAGGTCACCTCAACTTTTACGTGTTAACATGATTATGCTTCCTTGAAGTTTTGTGGTTAAAGGAAGGAAGTCATAAATCAGGCCACTTTTCACATACATTGGCAGAAAAGTGTCAGGTGAGTGGGCAAAGTGGAGAGTCTCAGCTACAGACCTCAAATGCTAGCTATGGCACTCTTGGCCTTGTGGTCACTGGAAGCCGCTGGTCTGCTAAGTTAGTTCATTTCATCCTTGCTAATCACAAACATAGTAAAGCAGACATGGGGGTAGGCAAGGAATGGCTATCAGTGGAAGACAGCAAAGGTGCATTTTAATTAGACTTTGGACCTGCAACCTCCCTGCAGCCACTGACATTCCAGTCAGTCACTCAGCCTGAAGGGCTCAACAGGAAGCGAAGGTCCTTCCCGGAGCTTCTATTTACATATCTCTTTGGGAAGTCAGAGTACATAGAAACACCTGCCTTTCCAGGTCTTGGAGACCTTGCTGGTCTGAGAGTTTCTATCCCAAGTGTGTCCCTTCCCTCCGCTCCGTCAGACCCCGGTGACTCCAACGTGCTGTAAGAAGTTAGTGGATTTACGGCTGCTTCTCTGTTTGAGGACGCCTTGTCTATCATTTCCTCTCTCTGGGTGTCACGCAAAGCTGCATCTCACAGAGGCAAGAACAACTTCTGGGCTATAAATTGGACGCTTTGAGGAGCCGCAGGATGACTGTACAAGTCTCTCATTTTACCCAGGGGAACTGATCCAGAAAAGCTCTGTGAATTAGCTGAGCCACTTCAGTACATTAACTTCCATAAACGGAATCATGGAAAAAAACAGTTACTAATCAAAATAATGCGTGAAAAGGCCTTTCTACAGTACAAAAGCTTCCCCCTACTTTTTTTTTAAGAGCTGGCTTGTGTAAGCATCTTGTTAATAAGTACAACTTTAAATTTCTGCTTCAGGGCACTGAAGGGCACATTACCCAAGAACTCACAAAGTCCCCCTCCCCCCCCCCCCCGCGCAAAAAAGCAATTTGTCATGGGCTAGCCCATTAGAAGTCTTAACACCTTTTCAAAGCCACTTACAGTAGGTCTGGGCTATCTCTGGACAAATCTAGACTGTTCTTAAATAGGTTTCTATTTAAGGGGACTTGGACAAAGGCCCTGAGCACACAGACCACTGGCTTCCTGACTTCTTCCAGAGATGCAGTCTGAAGAGGTAGCCTTTCTTTCCACCCCTGATCTCCAGGAGATCAGCTTCGAAATCTTGACTCATAATCACTGCATATGCTTGGCAGTTTATACCTGAAATGCAGAATTTTTAGAGCATGAATTTACATCTGTGTAATTCAGGTGTTCAGAAAGCTGAAGCAGGGGGATCGTGAATCCAAGTCAAGCCAGGGCTGCATAGCAAGACCCGGTCTCAGAAGGAAGGAAGGAAGGAAGGAAAGAGGAAGACAAGAGCAGAGAGAGAGAGGGAGCCATCATTTGGGTTCCAACAGCCTCCTGTCTCTCCATACCCTCCCTGTAGCAGCTGGGACAGCGTACGCCTGTAAGCCTAAACTGACAGCGTAGGTTTTGAGCGTGGCTTTGGCTCGCCTCCCCTTTGGGGGAGTGTTTCTATTACATTTTCTCAGAAGGAAAATGGGCTGGGCGGAGTGGTATACACTTGCAGTCCCAGCACGTGGGAGGCTGAGGCGTGAAGTTACCTGCAAGGCAGAAGCCTGGGTAAGCGTGAGGGCATCTGGGCTACAGTGGCAAGACTTCATCTCAAAGCAACAGCGACAAAACCAGCAGAGCTTTCCCAAGACCATACAGAGCTGAAAGCCTGTTCCGCTTCCTCTGGCATTGGAGGTCGCCGTGAAATTAGAGCATGGACGGAGCCTTCAGCCAAAGCAAGCTGTGGTTGGGGCTGAGCTCAAAGCCTGCTCACCTCTGCCTTCCTCCCCAGGTGAGCCCAGCTGACTGTGGTGGTGTCCCCGTGCTCACGCCTTCTTTCTGCCACAGGTACCGCCTGGCCGGCCTGCCCGGTGAACACCAGCAGAGGAACATCAGCAGCCCAGAGGTGAGCTACTGCCTGGTCACCGACCTCATCATCTGGACGCAGTACGAGATCCAGGTGGCGGCCTACAATGGGGCAGGCCTGGGCGTCTTCAGCAGGGCGGTGACCGAGTATACTCTACAAGGAGGTGAGCTACAAGGGGGTGGCGGACCTGTGGCACACTGGGGGCTGGGGTTGGCCAGGGCCGATTGGAACGTACAGCTCTCTAGGGCAGTGTCTATAAAAACACAGGTCTTACCTGGAAGGGGGTGAGCGCTTGTTTAGTTTGGCACTAAATGTGAGTGATCACAGACAAAGAGTTCCCCCAGGGACCCGCTCCACTATCACAGGACGAAGGAAGTCACAAATCAAGATGCCTTGTTTTAAACGCCTTGGTGGAAAGCTTACAGCAAACTGGGAAAGTCGCCGTCACAGGCCTCAGATGCTGTCTGATGACATTCTCTGGCTCTGGGCTGGTGGAAGCTATGGGTCATTTTTATAGATACCAAAAGGATGTACCTGTCAAGTCCTAAGCATTTTAGGTCACCCATAGGATTGGGTTGGAAATGACAACATCAAGGGCTAAGGAGAACCCAAGATGTTTTTTGGCTTGGGACTTGTAACATCCCAACTCTCCACAACCACAGGCATTCTAACCTGTCAGTCAGCCTTGAAGAAGGTTTAACATAGATATGTGTTTATTTCTCGGGAGCTTCAGATTCCAAGAGCTGTAGGAGAAAATCTAACCCAGAGAGAGTCAATGGGATTTGATTTCCTTGCCTGTCCTGAACCTCAGTATTGCACTGAGGAGAAGCTTGGTATCCAGGCAGCCTTCGTTTCTCTGGGAGCTGGGGACAGAAGAGTCTATGGGCAAACACATATCCATCGTATACAGAGTCTCTGGAGGGTCTGGGAATTCAGACTTTTCTAAATGCACCGCAGCTGTGGATTTGGTCAAGGGCTAGAACCGTCACCGGGCTCCGGTGGTCACCTTTCGAAGCAAGCAACCATTCACAATTCTACTTTAGTAATATGCAATAGCATTATTGGGAACAGAATTCACAAGTTTGTGCTTTGTTTTTCCTTATTATACAAGCCAACAATGTAAGATCAATAAAAGCTCCCCCACCCCCAAAGAAATAATCAGCAAAGTGTCAGAAAGCCAGGAGGTGCTCCACAACACGGGCTCAGACTCTGCCTGGGGTTTAGAGTTCAGCCATTCCAGGAAAGAACTCCTCCCTGCTTTCCGGAAGATTCTAGTTGTTGTCCTGAACAGTAATAAACGGGCCCTTTCTCAATGGCCACACCGGTCCTGCAGCAGCCCAGATCCTGGCTGGGGGACACAGTTTCCCCTCATGGCCTCAGAGCCTTCTTCCTCGTGCAGAGATTTATGAGGCTCTCAGTTCACAGGTGCGGTTTTATTTGCTTAGGCATTTTTATTGCTTACCAGGGCCATGACCTTTTTCTTCAAATGATAAGGTTTCTAACTGCCCACTTCTCTCCCCAAATCCTGCCTCAGACCTAATGTTCCTTGATATTACACGCTGTTATTATCAGCCCTTATTGATTGGCTGTCGGTTGTCATCCGAGAGTCCATAAATCCTCCTTTATAAATTAAAAACAGTCACTGCTGCCTGCCCAGCAAGTAGCAGAAATATTAAAATGCTGGACAGCCGAGCAGGGCTTGTCCATCTGCAAGGGATTCCTGACCACCCATTTGAAGAGGCAAACAGCGGACAGCCTGGACGGTAAATTCTTGCCTTAATGAGTCTGTTTAATAAAATGACAATAAACTTGGAAACGCTTGAAATGACTAACACGGGGGGCTGCAGAGATGGCTCAGTGGTTAGGCGCTCCTACAGCACCTATACTGAGCAACTTAAAAGTGCCTTAACTCCAGCTCCAGGGGCTCTAGCGCCTTCTGCTGGCCACAGTGAGCACTTCACTCACATGCAAATGCACATGCAAGCACACACAAGTACATAATTAAAAATAAAACAAATCTTTGTGAAACTACAAACGAACATGGCTGTGGGTTAGACCCTGTGACTGTTAACTGTGACTACCTAGTTTTATCCTCAGAGAGCTTGAGTTCTGTACACAGCCAGGGAAACTGAGGCCTAATTTAAAAGGATGTTGAGGCTGGAGACTTTGGCTGGTAGGTACCTGGCACTTGATAGCCACATCAGGTTTAAGAGGGAGTGGCAATTTGCAAATGCTGAGCTGGAAGGCATCTTAGTTAGGGTTTCCACTGTTGTGATTAAAGTAACCACTACCAAAAGTAACTCCGTGAGGAAAGGGTTCATTTCTGCTTACAGCTGCCTTGCCAGGTCCATCACTGAGGGAGGTCAAAATTTATTAAATTTGGGGCAGGAAATGGGAGGCTGGAGCTGATGCAGAGGCCATGGAGGGGTGCTGCTCGCTGTCTTGCTCCTCAGGGCTGGCTTAGCTTTCTCTCTTTCAGCACCTGGGACCACCAGGCCAGGCATGGCACCACCCACAGAAATCACTAATTAAGGAAACTCGATACAGGCAGATCTTGTGGAGGCATGCCCTCACCTGAGAGTCCCTCTTCCCACGTGATCTAGTGTGTGTCAAGTAGCCATAAAACTAGCCAGTGCTGAAGAGAAATCATGGGTGGCGTACAGGAGAGGAGAGGGCAGAGAGAGGGCAACCGCACGGAGAGTGGAAAGGACAGTAACCTGGCTGGAAAGTGCTGGTTCCTCCCTGCTCTGGGATGGGCCGAGAAGAGGGGTCTGGAGAGGCCTTTGGGTGGTACGCTGTTCTTTCAAATCAGGTCACGCGTGGGCTGGGGAGACGGTACACTGGATAGCAACCTGAATTGGATTTCCAGGACTCGTAAAAAGGCCAGGTATGGTGGCATGTGCTCGCAGTCCCAGCCCCAGAGAGGCAGAGATGGAAGCAAGGACAGCAGCCTAAGGTTGCCCTCTGAGCTCTGCCAGCCCTCTCATACAGACACACCTGTACCAGGTACCCATGCAGCTAGACGTGTGCCCCTCCACTGGGGCGGTGTTATAGCGTTGTAACTGTTACCGCGGCTGGGGGATGGCTGCTGGAGGGGCCACCAGCCGCTTCTCCTCACTTTGCATCCTGACTTCTAGTGGTCACCCCTGGGGGTACTGTTAGACCCGAGAGAAAAACATTTCCAGGACTATCTGAAAGCAAGCTATATCCAGAAGTACGCAAAGGGCTGTCCAGGCGACTGCCTCCCGCTATGTGGGGTTCCAAAGAGCAGCCCCTCCCTGGCTTTTGAGGTCCCTTCTCTGGGGAAGGGTTTGAGTTGAAAGAAAATAGCTGTTGAAGCAGGGCATTTTATCCCAGCACTCAGGGAGGCAGAGGCAGGAGGATCGCTGTGAGTTCGAGGTCAGCCTGGTCTACAAACCCTGAGTCCAGGACAGCCAAGACCACACAGAGAAACCCTGTCTCAAATAAACCAAACAACAGGAGGGCTGTGTGGGCATAGCTGAGCCACACTTCCTTTGCTGCCCGGAGGCCACTTAGTGTCTCTGGAGTGTCCTACAGCAGTTGGCGCTGTGCGCTGAAAAAGCCTGGAGTAGGTCCTTCAAGCAGCGGGGGGAGGGGCGGAATTAAAATGCTTGCATATTAAAAGAGAAAAGAATAACTCATAAAATTAATTGTTGGCTTCATTTGGGAAATCATGGGCGTGTGTAGAAACATAATTCAGCAGTCAATGAGAAGACACTGAGGGAGGCCTGAGACGCCTAGCTGGGGAAGGTGGAATTTCAGTCTGTTGAGGCCTGGCTTCCTCTCCCTCCAAAGAGGATCAGGAAAGCACCCTGCACTCCCCAGGGGCCACTGGGGGCAGTACACGTAGGTGGCCATTTGCGAGGTGCAGGATCCCGGTAAGTTCTCGGGAAGAAAAGGGCGCACTCACAAGGTGCCCGCTGGGCACCAGCAGCCGAGCAAAGCAGCCACACACTGTTTCCCCGCGCCTTCTTGCACATGCATTATTTATCTCAAATGTGTGTTTCCTCCCAGGAAGCCCCTTCCATCATGGACTCACACACATACACATGCAAAGGAGAAAAAAAACAAAAACAGAAACAAAACTGCAGTGAGCCTGGCAGGCCCAGCATCCCAACACAGCGCATGAACAGGAGAGCCTCAGGGCCGTGGCAGCCCAGCGTGGATTCAGTCACTTCAGGCTCATGCGTGTGTGTGAGTCCATGATGCAGGGGGAGGTGTTCCCTTGTGTTTGCGTGTGGAATCGGACTTTCAGCGTCTTCCCCAAAGGCTCTCCACCTTCTGTACTGACCAAAGCCTCTGGTTGGGCCTGCAGCTCACCAGGCGTGTTTACTCTAGCTAGGCATTTTGTCCTAGGGTGTGCCTGTCTTGGCCTCCTGTGTGCTGGGTTTAGAGAAGGCTGGCACACCTGCCTGGATTCTATGTGGGTTTCTGGGGTCCTCACACTTGCAGGAGAAACACTTTGTCCACCTGAGCCGTTCCCAGAGCTCCTACTTAGCAGATCCTCAGCACAGACTGGTTGCCCTGGGGCACGCAGGCATAAGAACTTCTGTGTCGCCTCCTGTCCTGCTTCCATCCAACACCCCTAATCCCTCCTCTGTCAGTCTCCTCTAATAGACTTCACAGCGGTGCCTCCCTGACCTCCTCCGCTGGAAGCATCTCAAACGGGACGTATTAACTTACAAATTGAGCACCACTGCTCCAGTATGGTCTGAGCCAAGTGACCTTTCCATGGGGTCAGAGGAAAGGTTGGCTGCTCTGGAGAGGTGGAGGGCCTGGAACCCCAGCACACCGGGAGCCGCCTGTCAGATTTCCATCATGATGACCCAAAAGGCAATGCAAAGTAACTCATATTTCATAGCACTCCCAGAAATCGATAACACTTTCGGGTTCCAGAGGGGAAGAAAAGCGTGGTGTGTAGCTTCTGTAGTCGAAATGCTCGGTCTAATTAGAAGCATTTCTCTTCTGCTGCTGTCTGCTTCAGCAACTTTCTAATCTCAGAGAAAGAGAGGGAAAGGGCCGAGTCATCCACAGCCAACCGAGGGTCCGATGTGAGTCGTGTGACACCAACTCTGTGTTCGGGGCCCTTCACCGGTGTTGAATGGTTCAATAGCCAGGAAAGACTGGGAAGGAATGATGTGT